AGAAAAAATGTCAGCATTCTAAAGAGTCAGCAGCAATGAGAGCAACACAGGAAGCAAGCCAGAGACCATAAGCTAGTAAAACAGAGACTAAAAGCTAGTCTGAAGATCCCCTGAGAAGCTGAACACCCATGCCAAGAAAGAAGATTCCCCCCAAATTAAGCCTTCTATTTCCCACCAACACCCTTGAGGAACATGTGCCGACCCATGAAGAGGAAGCATGAAAAAGAGTTTGAAGATTAGACAAAAGTACAGAAAAACCCTCAGAATCAATAATGGTCAAAAGAGATAGATTAATCCAGAAAATAGGCCATGGTGTCAAATGATTTAACTCCACCGATCCCAAAGTGATGCTTTCCTAAGAGTTACTGTCTATTTCTATGATCTTTCCAAGTCTCCCTCTTTTGGGATCTGAGGTATACAGAATTATTTTTATTTTTGTTTGCTTTTTCATGAAGAACATTCAAGCGTCAAAGTGTCACTGAAACCTCCAATGAAAAACAGTAACAACAAAAACCCTCTAGACTTAAGCTTATGAATGTACTAGATAAAATGTGCTCTACTCAGAACTACCTAGTCAGACCATCTCTGAGGCCTGAATCTGAGCATGCAGTTCCTGCAGCTGCAGCCAGTTGGAGGGGTACGTGGCTCCCCAAGCTGTTGCTTGAAAAGAAACCCAAGACAAAGTCTAGAACATCCTTTCTAAATGCTAAATAGACCTACAAGATCCTTGGCTACCTTTACCTCCATATTTTTTCCTGTAAAGGCAGTCTCTGGTTAGTTTGTTTTAATATGATTTCATGTGTACAAAAAGTTTGGGATAGAAAGACAAACGTGAAAAAGGGTTATCTATCTAGTCTGGCCAAGTCCCAAGATCCCCAACCCCCTTTGAGAAGAACTTAAGCCCACAAATTAAAGTCAAGCTCAAAAGAGAAGTAAAAAAATAATTTCTCGAGTCAAGAGTTTGACAGTCACAGGATGTTGGGGTTGAAAGGAAAGGAAACCCAAGTCTCATTTTATAGATAAGTAAAATGAGCCCCATAAAAAAGTTTATCAACCTGTAATTAGGTAAACAGCTGTAATATTTTGTTTACTTCAAAAACTACAGCTTAGACAGTACACCTTAAAAATATATTCTCCTGCAGAAATGATTTTTAAGGATAAAAACAACAATAATCACTCAAAGTTTTCTGTAAATATTCATCCTGTTATGTAGGAATGTACTAAATAAAAACATGGTTGATGGCAGATTTGTAACTGTTTTTAAGGTGATCCATTTCCAAATAAGCTTCAAAATAGCTGATCAAATACACTAGATAAAGTTACTTTTACCTTATTTAACATTGAGTGCTTACATGTGTGAGGCACTACGTAAGGTGTTTTGAAAGTATCATGACATTTACAGGACTGCATTGCTTAAATAATGATAGTTATATACTATAAAAATTAAGGCAGTCCTATTAAAACCATGATGCAGAAAACTTAAGGGAAATAAAGTTCTACAAACTATAACAGTAAAACAAATTCTCACCTCCACCTCCCTGAACAACCAAGAGCTTCCTTCATTTCTAGAAACAAAACCATCTTTACTATCTCCAGGTGAGAGAGTCAGAAATACAGTCTGGACGTCAGGAAATCCGGACGACATTTTCCTCTCACACACAACTTCTTTAGCTTCAAGAATAGGTAAGTACAAATACTGGTAGAAAATTTACCAATGTAAGAACAGAAAACATGTTGCCATCCTGCCAAATACGCCAACACCTCAACTTCTGAATATTCCAAGAATGCTATTACACAATACAAAACCAACAAAGTCCTTCTCCCAACTTTTGTTAAGAATAGTTAGATGTCAGCTCAAAAGACTTTTTCTCCAAAGTAATTAATTTTTAGGCAATATAAGATAGGAAAAGTCTAGCTTTTCACCAAATGTCCAAAACTTCAATAAGTACTTCACTCTCCTGGGGGGAGGTAGGGGGGGAGTGAGCTCCTCTTTAAACTGTAAAACACACACTTGTATCCTTACAAAAACATTTTTAAAAATACATGAACAAAAAATGTATACAAATAGAGAACTAAATTTTAGTGAGTTTCTCTACTATTACCAATTAATGTTCCAAAAGTAACAAAAACAGCTATTAACAGTTTTATATAAACTAGTATAAATACTGAAGTTATACACATTTGTCTAGATAACAAAAAGTAATGACCATGATTTGACTTCGTGTGTAAGAAGGATCTTTGTACTTGATCACAGCATTTTGAGATTCCTTTCATTTCAGTGGTTGTAGACCATCATCAGAGCTCAAGTAATACTGTCCACACTTCTTAACTCACTAGTTTTCACCAAAGATGAAGTGGTTCTATAAAGAAAATAGCTCTATGAAGATCTCATTTAAAAATACGTCTTATTCTACTTGCTTATTCATCAAGTAAAAAAAACCACATCAACATGACTGGTACTAAAGACCGGAATTTATATTTCACACAGCATGTACAGAACTGGGGTGCCTAAACTGAAAATAAAATTTACAAATGCCAGTCAACAATGTTGATACCTGTATTTCCTCACATACTAAAAACAAACTCATCCTACCTATAACCCATCTCTCTGCCCACTCACTCTGAGCAACTGTGTCACTGGTTTAAATTACAAGAACAGAACTAATTTTTTTAAGTTGTTTATCATTAAAAGACGAAAACAGCCCTAGCTGGTTTGCTCAGTGGTTAGAGAGTCTGCCTATGGACTGAAGGGTCCGGGGTTTGATTTCCGCCACGGGCACGTACCTTGGTTGCAGGCTTGATTCCTGGCCCCGGTGGGGGCATGTGAGGGAGGCAGCCAATTGATGTTTCTCTCTCTCTCCCTTCCACTCTCTCTGAAAAGCAATGAAAAAATAGCCTCAGGTGAGGATTGACTAATAAATAAATAAATAATGAAAAGAGAGAAATAAAGAGTAAGTTTGGGGGGAAGAGTTCATCAGAAAACACAATACAAGCACACAACTATCTCAAGTATAAGCTGAGTGTGTCAAGGCAACTTCAAACTTCGAAAAATAGAAAACCTTCCCAAATAAAGCAGGTTTACCTTAGAGCAAAAATCAAATGCCCAAGTTTCTCATATTCGAATGCCATGTGTTTCTAAAAAACTACATACATGACACATAATGTTCTTAAAATATTAATTTTAATATTAGTTGTTTCTAATACGTCAATAGTCAGCATTATCTTTCAACGGGCAGCCACTATTATAAGTGCAGAGAATGTGTATTCTACTGCTATGGCTCCTTACTAACATTTTCAGTCCCAGGGAATTTGAGAGACTAATCTACTCAGCAAACTACAATGCTAAAGCTTTCTCCAGGGACCACCTTGCTAACATATCCATCTATTTCTCAAAGAGAAAAGGCAGTTTAAATGGGGGGGGAAAGTGTCAAATCAAATGTATGTATCACAAATACAGACTTAAACTTTAGCGGTTGACTAGTTTTCAAACTACCAAGTAAATTTCTTCAATGGACGTTGAACCATTTCACTGTTACAGAAAGTAGTATTTAATATACAACACATTCTTTGATGTAGTTACATACTATATCCTATCTCACCTTAAAATTTACCAAGAACCACACTAAAGTTTTGTTTGAAGCAAAATATTTATTTTGTGTTACAATTATTTGGCTGAACTAATCAAAGGAAACTGGTTTCTTTTAGCTAAGAAGGGCAGCAGAACTTGAGAAAAGAAAGCAACCTGAATGAGTGTGACAGTCCTAATTTATGCAAGAACGCTGCACAAACCCCCAGCCATCAGTGACATTCTTAACAGCACAGAAAAGACATAAATTATATCAAAATGATTTGTGATTAAATTTAAATCATGGTTTTTTTCCCCCTTGTATTTAAAATACTAGTCAAACTGGTGTGGAAAAAGAGGAAGTAACTTCTCCTGCGGTTGCAGGAGGGATCGCCCCCCAGTCGCAGCCGCGACCCAAGGGCAGGGCGCTGAAGCTGGGAGGGAACGTGCAGAGTCTCAGCACCACTCCCAAGGTAAGCACAGCTTTTTTTTTTAAGGTTTAATTTTCTTTTTTGCTGTCACCAGTAAGAACTCAACCTACTTCCCTAAAAGGCACGTTTGTTTTCAAAAGAAAGTGAGGAGCGAGCCAATGACTAAGTGAACCAGAGAGCGAAGGGACCGTCCTTCCTCCGGGCCTAGCGCGTCCCCCGGGGCGCTCGCGGGAGCGGCGACCCGTCCTCGCGCCCGGCCCCGGCCCCCGCCCAGGAGGCCCTCGCGTTTTCCTCTCCTCGGTCCCCCCGGAGCAAGGACCCGCCTGACC